TTTGGTTTTGCAGCGGCCCGCCCCCCCCCCCCGCTTTCATCATCTCCTGCCGTGCCTCAATTCAGCAAGGTGGTTTAACGGTGTGGGACAGATGTGTCCCCATGGGGCTGGGGTGCTGGGGAGGGGGCACCCAGGCATCATCCTCACCGGCACAGCGGTGGGGCAGCCGTGCTGGCATGGCGGCTGCTCCTGCGGCAGCCGAGGCGCGTGCTTGCTTGCATGCCCCACTGCCCCTCGCCACGTGCCGCCCTGGCAGCCGCTCTCAGCCACCACAGGCATTTTAATGAGAGCTGGGCAGAGCTCAGCCCCGCACAGCCCCCTGGGCTGCCAGGAGCTTTAGAGAGGCTGAGGGTCTCCAGCGCCAGCACGGGCACAAAACTCTCCAGTGGGGCCACGTGCTGTGGGAAAAGCTCCAGCACCTACATGGGGAATCAGTCCCTGAGCAGCTCCAGCTGCTGCTCTTTAACACTCATTTATAGGAGCAATGAGGGTGGGCTATAAACTGCTCTAATACCCCCCAGTTGCCAGCTCTGCCAGCTCCTGGTGTGAGAACTGGGGGTGAGGAGGTGGGGTCCAGTGGCTGCTGCCCCAGGGAAGGTTTGCAGCTCCAGCTGTGCTTGTTCCTCATTGCCACAGACTGATGGCACAGTGGGGTAACATGTCACTTCTTCACTGTTTCCTGCTGGGGGGCTTTTGGTTGGATTTACTTCACGATGCACATGAGAGGCTGGCAAATGAGACATGTCCCAAGTGCTCAGTGTATTTGCAGTGGGGTGGAATTTAGGAGACTGATGGGGCTGGTGGTGTTCAATGGCTCTCCTGAAAAAAGGATTTAGGTGAATAAGGTGCCTTGGGCAGCCCTTTCACAGCTTTTTGCAATTGTCAGGGTGCAGGATAGAGGCAAGACCTGTTGGGTCGTTTGAAGGGACTCTGAAGGAGGCGAGTCCATGGGGCTGGAGATGAGTGGGCAGTCTGCAGCTGTCAAAACAAGACCTGAGAAGGGTTTCAAGCCCCATCATTTCCCTGTTTCCACTTTATGCCCTGTTTCCACTTTATGCCTCTAGCCTTGGAAGATGGCCTTGGTGCAGGGAGGGATGCAGGCAGCAGCAGGTAACTGGGATAGCCCTGTTTAATGTGCCCTACACCTCCCTTTTATCCCCAGCAGCATCTCCTCTAACATCCTGTGCAGCTCAATGGATTGTAAATCCCCAAAGCTGGGGCTTAACACCAGGAGGAAAATGATGCTACACCACATCCCTGTCCCTAGCTAGGACCTTCTGTGTCACCCTCCCTGGACCATCACTGCTGCTTTTCCTTGGCAGAGAAGGGAACAGGGCATCTTGCAGGTGATGGGTGATGCCTAGATATTGTGATGCCTAGCATATTGTAGTATATGCTACACCACATCCCTGTCCCTAGCTAGGACCTTCTGTGTCACCCTCCCTGGACCATCACTGCTGCTTTTCCTTGGCAGAGAAGGGAACAGGGCATCTTGCAGGTGATGGGTGATGCCTAGATATTGTTAGTGTCCCAGACATGAGCTGGATGTTCCCAGAGACCACCTGAAGGTGACAGCAAAGGTAGCAGAGGTGTCCCACATCTCTGTACTTCAAAGTTTCAGTTCTTACACTCTTCTGGCACTAAGTTGTAACACCCTGTGCCTTGGTTTCCTCTGGGGGAGTGACAGCTCTCCCTCCCTCCTGAAAGCTGTGTTTGCCTTCAGCCCCACCTTGAGCTGCACACCACTAAGGGTTTTTATGTCTCTGGGGGCACTGATGAATGAACCCCCCCAAAGCTGAGTTCACACCCCAGCCCTCCCAGAGACCTGCATGATGCTGGTTCTTGGCTCTTCCTTCCTACATCTTCAACAGGAGCAGTGAAGGTGTCCCCACTTCTGGCCTGGTTCCCTGTGCCCAAACTTTCCCCCTCTCCTGGGACCCACCTCTGCCTCAGGTAGTTGTAAGAGACAGGAAGGCACTGGGTTTTCCAAGGGGATAGCTTTGAGAGCCCTCAGGAGTGCTGGAGCCATGAGCAGTACACTGGGCTGTGCTGCATAGGAGCAGCCGTTGTCAGGCATGACAGAAGCATCAAGAAGAAATCAGTGAGCCCCAAGCACCCACCAACATCAGATACAAATCCTTCCTGGGCTTAATTCCCCACATGCCAAGAGAAATGGTGCTTCTGGCACCAGCACTGAGAATAAATGAGAAAAGATGAGGAAGACCCATGCTGCACTGGCTCCTCACCCTGTGAGGCTCTGCTGCTCTCTCCCAGCAAAAGCTGGGATCCATGGCCCAGGGTATAGAGGAGGGAATGCCCAGGCATCAGCAGGAGTCCAGCCAGGGACATTCACTGCCTTTGGGATTGTTTTGAAGAGCTGCTTTGCTTTCTAAAAATGAAAGGCATGCTAGAGCAGCCGGCAAGGGGTGGGGTAAGTGTTGCTTCAAGGTTGGGATGGTGTTGGGTACCCATCTCTAAGGTTTCCCCCAAGCCCAGGCTGCCCTCAGCAGCTGCAAGCACGGGGGAAATGAGGACAGGCAGGATGGGAGCATGCCTGGGCTTCCAGACACAGGCTAGAAGCTTTGCTTGGGATAAGTGGGGCGAGCAATGTGTATCATTTCAGGTGCTGGCATCATCTGGTTGCTGGCAGCATGCCGGGACAGGCACTGCAGCAGAGGATGCTGCTGCCCCTCTCTGCAAACATCCCCCCCCCCCCCCGCTTCATAGCCCACTCAGCCCCTGCCTGGATTTCCCCGGGCAGGGCTGGGAGAGGATCTGCTGTCAGGCAAGTGCCGGCAAGGGGGAGAGAGTGGCGTGCCCTGACCTGCTCTAGCTATGAGATCATCCCACGCTCCCGGCTTTTAAAGAGTGATACAAAGCTGTACACGGCCTCAGGCAGCTCTTGAATGGAACAGCGAGCACGAGAGGCTGGGGACCTGGGGACCAGAGTAGGCACTGATCCCTGGAGCTGTGCTCACATGCACCCTCCTCCCCCAAAATGCACGGTATTCCTTCAGAAAAATTCCCATTTTGTTTTGCATGAGTCCAGGGGCTAAATCTGTGCCCCACTAGACCCTGTGTGCTGAAGCTGAAGGAAGCTCTGCTTGAGCATCCCCTCAGGCATCAGCAGCATGTGTTCAAGCATGGAACGAAGCAGGGAGGTCACACATGTCCACGCAGGGCTGTGGCTGGAGATTTGCACTCCTTGGCAATGGGGACACAGCGCAGGGATGAGCAGTAACTGGAGCTGCGCTGCACCTGTGCTGGGCCTCCTGCTTTTGCTCTGATATCATGTCCCAGTTGAGAGGTGATGTCATTTCAGAGGGAGCCAGAGAAAAGGAAGTGCTGGAGACGATAAGGTGCTTTAACTGTACCCCTTCTGGCTTGGGCAGGTTTGGAAGCTGAGAGCTGTGTTAGGTGCCAGACAGGAAAACATAAGAGAGGGGAGGAAAGAGGTTGGTTGAAGGACACCTTCCTCCTGGGCCAGTGGGAGCTGACACTGGGAGCTGATGAGATGGAGGACCTTGAATGTTTCCAGGTGGTGTAAGCACAATTTTGTGCACTGCTCTGGCTTATCTATCACCTTCACCTCCCAAACATGTGGGGTGGGTTATCTGCAGCGCCAGTCATGCCACACCAGTAGCAAGGAAGGTGCTCCAGGAGGATCAGCAGAAATGCTGGCAAGTTGCTAGAGAAGGTAACTTGAGAATGTGCCAAGGATGCCCTGCTTTCAAAGGGGAGAGAGACTTAATGGAAAGTTTGTCACCAAAAGCTCATTAAAAGGTCTTGTTAGCAATAGAGATGGGCCAGGAATTCCCATGGTGCTGGGACTTGGACTTTCAGAAGGATCTCAGAGGGGCATCCTGGTCCCTCTGACAGTCAAAGACCCAAAGTCTCCGCTTTTTGGGTGATGTCAAGCTGCATCTGCTCACTCACATGAGTAGGAAAACCTAAGGGAGACTGGGCTGATACAACCCAAGGTCCTCTCCATTGCATCAAGCTGGGAGTGGAGCTGGGCCACCACTAGACAGACCCAGCTCTACCCTGGAGAATGGGATCAGTGAGTGAGAGCAAATCAGAATCACCAGTGGCCTTAACACAACCACATAGGACATACAACAGCACCGAGGGCCTTCCACCTTCACAAGCTGCCCACAGTTGCAGGCAGGACAACACCTGATGACCTGCTCAAGTCAGTGCTCTTTCCAATGGAGCTGGGGACTGGCTTTCAGGCAGACTCATCCACAGTTAGACTGTGCTTTTGACAGTGCCAGACATCATGGCAATAGTTCTGGCTATCAGATGCCAACTCCTACAGCCCCAGCTGAGGGTTTTCTCTCAATATTGGGCTTTAAGATACTCAAGCTGAGTATGACTGCCAGGCAGCTTGGTGCAGTAAATCAGGCACTGCTTGCTGTCACATTCAGTAAGGTCAGAGTGTGAAAAAAGGCAATGGCCTGCAGGTTCTGATGTGCTGGTCCAGTCTGATGTGGTGGAAGTCATGGGCTTGGCGGGGCTGCGCAGAGGCAGCATTTCTCAGAAACCCCAGTGTGTAAATGTAGCCGTTGTGGCAAGGCTTGAGCTGACCTCCCAACCCAGGGAGCTTTGCACCTCAGTGAGCTTGCTTGTTGTCACCCTGACCTGGCAACTCTGGTTGTCCTGAGAGTAGTAGACATCCAAGAAAAGGACTTTCACTTCTTGTCAGTTGTCTGAATTAAGTGGGTGAAGAGCAGGGTGGGTGATGGATGCCCCATGTGTGCATTAATATCCAGCTGCAGCAGGAAAAATCAGAGCTGGGTCTCCATTCCTTTCTCCGTGTGTGGCACAGTAATCACAACATGTCTGCACAGGTTAGCAATGGCTTGTGGTTTTTTACTCCTCAGGGCTCTGTTCTTAGTGTTGCAGGGTTATCACTGCTCTGTCCCCAGCCCAGGCCTTGGGTTGGTACTTTTGGTCTCAGCCTCACTACTACAAGCTCAATGTCCCTATTTTCTCCACAGGAGGCTTTGCTACCTTCTCGTCCTGCTTCCCGGGGCTGTGTGAGGGGAAGCCAGCTGCCATCCTGCCGATGAGCATCTCCCAGCCATGCTTGCCTGTGGCGAATGTCGGCCCCACACGCATCCTGCCACATCTCTACTTGGGCTCACAGAAAGATGTCCTGAACAAGGTATGGCCCTGTTGAGGGAACACATCTGTCCTGTCCCATCTGGGAGGGCAGCCAGCCTTGCAGAGGGGTTAGAGCATTAAGGACTCCTCTCCTCCCTGGTGGGAGGACCATGTATGGTCGGTCTGAACCTACCAGGAGGCTGAAGGCAGGCATTGAATAGGCAGAGCCCAGCAGAACTGGGGAGAGTGGTCACAGGATGAGTCATTTTACATTGAGTGGTCAAAGTCTTCAGCCGCAGCAATGTGGGGATGGGCAAGCTCAGGCCATGGGCAAGGGCTTGTTCAGAAGGCCCCAAAACAAGCAAAGTTTTGCTGTGGGGAGAGAGGAGAAAAGAGGGACAGTGCCCTTTTAAAGGTACTGGAAGGGCTGTGCTATGATGTCTTGCCAGGGAAAGAATTTTGTTTAAAGGAAAAATAGCAGCGAGAAGAAAGAGGAATTGTAGGTAAAATGATGCCGGATGTCTGCCTACTGCAGGCAGGAGGGAGCCAGCTGGGTGTCCTCGCCCAGGGCAGGCAACAGGGGAGACAGATCATGATGCTGGGATTGGGGGGGGGGGGGGGGGGTGCTTAGAGACAGAAAGGAGGGAGAGAGAAATTATATACACGAAGTAAAAGGAAATGAAAGAGAAAAATGCCAAGAATGTGAGCCTGGGAGCTGGGCTGGCTCCACTGAGCCTGCTGGGATGGGCAGAAATCGGCTGCTGGAAAGCCAGGGCTGAAATCCTAGTGCAGTCTCCCGAGGAGCCAATGTCAGGCAGGGAAATTGATGGTTTCCTTCCCTTCCTGCCTCCTCAGAGGGTTTTGGTCACCTTTTAGAGCTGTGTTCTCTGCCATCCCCACTATGTGGCCAGAAGATGCTCTATTCACAGGTAGCAGAACAGTGTCAAGTGCGGAGGCCATGGATGGGCGATGTGTCTTTTCTCCAGCACGTTGCAAAGGAGAGATCCCACATGGCAGATCCATGCACTCTAGTGTGGAAGGACTCTTCTATCTACATGTTTTCTCCTCCCATTTAATTCTGGGTCTTCCCTGGAATAGTGACCAGGGACTGAGACCCAGCAGCTCAGATATTCCTCCATTATTTATAAGCAACCTGCCCCCAGTTGTACAGGTGATACAACTGTGAACACCTAACAAATCTATGAGAGCCCCCAATGCATTTCTGAGGGGTGTGCGAGCAGGCATTGGTTAATATAGGGTGCTCCCAATGAACCACCCTGCTCTGTTGATGAGATGCCTCTTCTCCCTCAGCTGATACTTTCAAAACTTTCGGCCACAATTTTCACTGATTTTCTTTCCTGTTTTTGTCTGTTCCTTTCATACTGGGTTTCTTGGTATTTCCTCTCTGGGACCCCCTTCCAGGTGTCTTTGGTCTTGCTTATCTTTACTTGGGCCAAAGTAAAGATTTGCTGAGGTTCAAACCTGTGTCATCTAAACTGACAGTTCTCAGCTAGTCTCTGCTATACTACCATCAACTAGGTCAAATGAGCAATGGGAGACCCACAGGGGAAAGTATTGGGATGGGAGAAGACAGGGAGCACATGCCAAGGCAGATCTCCCACACTCGGTGCTGGCTACACTCAGCCAATCATTTGATTGCTTCTTTCCCACCAGGACTTGATGACACAGAATGGGATAAGCTATGTCCTCAATGCCAGCAACTCCTGTCCCAAGCCAGACTTCATCTGTGATAGTCACTTCATGCGCATTCCTGTCAATGACAACTACTGTGAGAAGCTGCTTCCCTGGCTGGACAAGTCCATTGAGTTCATTGGTGAGCTTTTGTTACAATGGTTGCAGACATTCCAGTTGTCAGCCTCCAAAACTTGGATTCTCCTTCTGTCCTCCATGGTCTTACTCCCAGCAACACTTGTCCTTTCACACAAAGAGATGGAGGGTTAGGGAGGGAGGCTAGAGTCATTTTACTCTCACCATCTCTGATCACATCAATGCTTTTCTCTCTGCTTCCTCTGCCATGCTCCAGACAAGGCCAAGGTGTCCAGCTGCCAGGTGATTGTGCACTGCTTGGCTGGGATCTCCCGCTCAGCCACCATTGCCATTGCCTATATCATGAAGACCATGGGTATGTCATCAGATGACGCTTACAGGTGAGTTTTCCCTGGGGGGCAGAGGGGTGTGATGCTGCTATGTTTCACTCCTGGAAAGGAAAGCAGGCTGAGCCCAGAGGAGAGGGTGGGGGCTCCTTGAAACTCTGTCTTGCCTTGGCTGAGTCCCAGTGAAACCAAACCAAACCTCCCTTCATAAAACGCATGCAATGAGGAATGGTTGGGAGAGGTAAAAAGGAGGGGAGAGGCAGTCCCAGCTGTACCCTGGGGCATCCTGAGGCCCCATGGTTCCCCAAGACCCCTTTCTTTGGAGGGTCTGCTTAGAAGGTCCTGGATGGTGCCTCTTCTTCCCAAAGAGGCTGAGAGAATAAGGGTGAACCACTGAAGGACCAAACACCAACTGGGGCTGTCTGTGCCTCTTGGCAGGTTTGTTAAGGACCGTCGCCCATCCATCTCACCCAACTTCAACTTCCTGGGCCAGCTCCTGGAGTATGAGAGGAGCCTGAAGCTCCTAAAGGCCCTGAAGTCGAAGGGTGACCGGAGTGAGGGAGATGTGCAGCAGGACCCGGCAGAGGCAGCTGAAGGCAGCCGGCATCCCCCACCACCTACCTCAGAGAAGGCCGAGGAGGTGCCGAGAGGCACTGGCTCGGTGTCCCCCCATGGTGACCCTGAGCGGCAAGGCGGGACCACGAAGGTCCTGTCGCCCACTGCCCTGCAGCAGGGGCTCAATGGCTTGCACCTCTCCTCTGAGCGCATCCAGGACACCAACCGCCTGAAACGCTCCTTCTCCCTGGACATCAAGTCTGCCTATTCCCCAGGCCTGCGGCAGGAGCCCCCCGGACCCCCCGGCCCTGGAGATGCCCCCAAACTCTGCAAGCTGGACAGCCCCTCTGGCCCTGGCAGCCTCAGCCCCTTCTCCCCGGGGGCAGACAGCCCCGATCGGCCGAGCGGGCCGGACCTCCTGCTGGAGGCCAAGGTGCGGCAGCGGCGAAAACACCGGCACACCGCCGGCTCACCAGCGCACGGGCTCAGCCTCAACGTTGGCGGTGCCTGCGCTGCACGCAAGAGCCCCGGCGCCGAGGACGGGCTGCCACCGCGGCTCAGCCAGCCAGCCCCTGCTCCCAGCACCGCCACCAGCGCCTGGGGTGGGGTGCACCTGGAGTCCCCCAGCACCCCGACCAGCGAGGCCGGCTGGTTTTTCGGCATGGACCCTGGCAGCACCAGCAGTAGCGGCGGGAGCCTGTTTGCCGCCGCCGGTCCGTACCCACCGCCCTTCGGCTGCGGCGGGGTGGCGGGTGGCTGTGAGATCCGGTTGAGGGACAAGGCGCGGGCTGAGCCGCGGGACGGGCGGCACAGCTGGCATGAGGAGGCCGGTGCTGAGAAGCAGTTCAAGCGGAGGAGCTGCCAGATGGAATTCGAGGAGACCATGTCCGAGGGCAGGGCCCGAGAAGAGCTGGGCAAAATCAGCAAACAGTCCAGCTTTTCGGGCAGCATGGAGATCATCGAGGTGTCCTGACACACACCGGGGGCGCCTGGAGATGCGGGATGGGGACGGGATGGGGGGATATTTAAGCTGGGGAGAGAGGGAAGGGGACAGGGACGGCGGGGTCGGGGGTCGGGGGGGGGGGGGGGGAGGGGGTAGTATTTATACCCACGTGTGCATTTTCGGGAGCGCACGCGCTGAAACCGAAACAAAGGCGGATGAGTCTTTGGAGAGTCAGGAAACACAGCGGCGGATGCTTAGTCCCCATCCTGCACCCACCCTGGTCCTTCCCCTCCATCCACACAGTTCCCCGCCCTCAGAGACCCACGCTCAAAATCTGGGCGTAAAATTGGAGCGGGAAGGGGCAGGGGTCACAGTTCTGGCTGCAGAGACGGGGCACAGCACCTGTGGAGGGGACCATATGTGCCCCTTCCCTGCACCCCGGTGCGCTAAGCATGCTCCCCGTGTTTCTCTGGCTAAGTATCCTAAAAATGCTGCACTGGAGCAGCCCTATACATATATAAATATATATTATATATAATATAAAGAAAACCAACCTGAAAACACACACAAAGGAAAAGGTAAATGGTTTTACTGCAATTTTTATTGAGACGTAAATAATATTTCAACTTTTTTGTTTTGATTTTAATTTATTGAAGCTGTTCATTCTGGCAATGATTTGCAGACAATGTGGGGCGGTACTTTCAGCTCTATTTTTACTGTGTATGGTATTTAAATCTGAAATACGAGTTTCTAAGCAATATCTGAGGCCTGTGGCTCCTTCTATAGCTCATGTCGACAACAAAGATTTTCTCCCCATTCCCTCTGGGTAGACCAACAAGGGGACAGGAGACTTTTCTGTGCACTTTTTCTAGAAACAAACAAGCAAACGAGGAAACCATAAAACCTTCTTACAACACAAATTGAGCCAGAAAACTCTTCTGGAAGCTGCTGCCTCTTCTTCACCCCTTGGTCTCTGTTTGCTTCTCCTTACCCCTGTCCTGGCCATTGCTCCCACCCCAGCCATCCTTGCCATCCTGGCTGCCACTCCATCCCAGTCATGTCCCCCTCCCTTGGGCTGTTCATCCTCACTGGAGATAGTGAGGAGGGAGTCACCTGAAGTGGAGGGAAAGGGGTTGGGTGTCACCTCCAGCTGTGCAAGGAAGGGGAAGGCATCAGAGGCTGCCACAGTGGAGGCAGGCGGGGGGGCTGATGGCAGTTGGGATTTCTTGTTGGGGGGCATCTTGCCTGCCCGCCCCAGCCCCTTGTTTCCCCCTTGCTTCAGCTACCTTGCTTGGGAGCTACGGGCACCATTTTCCATTTGAGGGCCATGGTTTTTGAAGCTTCTCCCATCCTTTGCTTCACATCCAAGAAAATCACGGGGTGTGTTTTTGCAGGTACTGGGACTCTCCCAGCCCTGTTCCCCTTCAGGCTGGCTCCCCTCCTTTAAGCAGGTGATAAGCCAGCCATACCTGAAGCTCTGCAACCTGAAGTTGTGCAAGGGGCACAACTGACTTACTTTCAGAGCTGTTTAGCTGCTTAACCCACCCTGGTGGGGAGCCAGGCTCTTGCTCCTAAACTTCAGTGTAGGCTTGTGAGAAACTGCTTTCTGGAGCTGTAGGCACTGAACTGCCTCTGCTGCAAAGCACATCTCTCCCTGTGGCTGTCTTTGCTTTCTCCCTTGTCTCGCACTAGTTTGCAAAGCTAATACCTCAGGGGTCTCTGTTCGTGCATGTCTTTGTCCTGTGTCATCCTTGGAGTGTTGTTTCTTTTTCTTTTCTGGGTCCACATGGTTTCTCTCTTTCCCTTGTTCCTCCTCTTGTTGTTCATTTCTATCTTTAAATCAAACTACACGTGACAAAACCAAATGATCTCAGGTTTAAAACTGAACACAAAGCAGAGGCATGAGGAGTTGCAATAGTGCGAGGAGGGGCTGCTCGCTTCAGCTGGTTACTTCCCCAACCACCTCTGTGTCCATGGCTGAGGCCTCCCCAGAGGCTCCTTACTTTCTGCAGGCTGGCTTTAGTTTTTCTGGTTTTCCATGGGGCCATTTGGTGAGATGCTGGGGACCACCATGTGCTCCTGTCCAGTTCCCCGAGGTGTGGCGGGGAGGGACGAGGCTTGCTGGAGAGCCAGTGATCACCTACTTCTCTTCCCACATCACTTTTGATGTGGCAAGGGATCTCACAGCCATCCCTCAAAGGCCCACCACCACCACCACCCATCATTGCCTCCACCAACCACCTTGAACCAGCTCAGTCTTGCCAAGCCAAACGTTTCTCTTTTCTGAAAGGACAATGTCACAATTATCTAAGCTCCCTTTTCAGTTTCCAATAAGCACTTGGGTCCATCCTGTGAGCCAGGCAGCTATTCAAGAGCTGCACTTGCAGCAGGGTCTCAAGGAGGCTTTGATGTGAAGTCCAAGGAGGAAGGGAAAAAGGCTTCATTCTCCCTCCAGTAAACACCCTGAGCCCAGGGTTAGTGCTGCCTGCTTCCTGCACAAGGAGTGCTACTGGTCTCCCTTCCCTTCCTGCTGCCCTCAGCAGTGGCACCTCTTCCCAAGCATGCCAGGGATCATCACCTGCTGATTTCTGCTCTGCATTGCTCAGTTCCTACCCATCCTGTAGTCCTCCAGGGCTGGTGCCAGCATGGATCAACTGAGCTCAGGTCAGCCATGTTGCTGGCAGGAGCTGGTTAGGTGTAGCTTTGGGCAATGGAAAGGGGGCTAGGTGACTTCCCAAGGAATTGAATAAAAAGAGGACATCAGGTTGGCACAGTCAGGTGGGGAGATGAGCTGAGGCATTATCAAGCTCTCCTGAAACTCATTCCGTTAGCTGACATGGCACATTATGAATGCAAAAAAGCAGCTGGAGTAAATCAGGAAGGAGAGGGCACACATTGTACATGAGACTCTAAATGCCTGCAAAGAGGCAGATAAGTGGTTTGCCTTCTGTCATCTCCACTATGCCATTCCCTGGATGCTCCTCAGCCATGTTTGAGGGGTTTAGGCACTCTTATGTACAAGACTTTAAGGCTACATCCAGAAAATATGCTTTGATGGAGCAGCCCTGCCTAAGTGTCTACTGCTAGTGCTGACCCAAAGCCATCAGGGTCGCCAAGTGGCTTACAGTTAACTGAAATGATATTTTTTTAAAATCAGGCCCTGATTTTTTTTTTTTTTTCAATCAGACCATTTTGTCCATGAATCAGATTGTGAGTTATGAGGATGGAAGTGCTGGCTTGTAGCTTTTCCCATCATCTGTCAGACAAGTCTTTTTACGGGCTTTCATAAGCCAGACAACCCAATCCAAAGGCTCACTGGAACCAAAATTCACCTTTCCAATCTAATCTGATGAAGGTGCATTTATCTGTAGGGTTCCACAGTGACAGAAGTGTGAACAGAGGAGAGGAAAGGTCTCTCCTTGCAAGGGAAGAACCATCAAAGCTGTTGAGTGCCCAGTGGTCACAGCAGTGGCAGTGGCTGAGCTTTCCACTAGGTGAAGGATGGAACAAATCACAGCTTTCCTTCATGCTAGCAGGGACATTACAACCTTATCTCCAGCCCATCTGTCCCTGGGGCTGAGCCCTCCAGCCACATCCTTCCCACCTACCTATCAGGGGGGTGAGTGAAGCCGGCAAGAGGGCAGCAATCAGGTTGGCAAGACCGAGGCAGAGGCTTGGGTTGGAGCAGGCTCACCCCCAGCCTTGGCGGCAGCATCCCCATGACCTGCTGCCTTCCTGGCCCTTCTCTTTGTCTTCTTGTTTCTTTGGATGTCCATCCCCGTCACATCTGCCCCTTAGGAGACAATGCTCCCCAGAACCCTCTCCTGCTGTCCTCTTCCCCTTCCCATCCTTAATACTAATGATAATAAGCTATCAGTGTTGTCATTGCAATCTATGAACGATAGATTTGAGTATTTATGATTATGATTATTATTATGGTTATGATTCTGTACGTTTTTGCTTCTTACTCTTTGTATGTTGCTCTTTGTTTCTCTGTTGTGAATAAATGCAAGGCCCCACCACACCTTCTCTCTGCTCCCCGCAGCCCAGCTGGGGCTGCACTCCCGGCTGTCCCAAACCCCAGGAGGCAAACCCTTGTCAGAGGAGCTGGAGGGTTGTGCTTCCTAAGGGTATAAAGACACCCAAACCCTGGGCAGATCAATTTTCTTAACTCTTCCCTTCCCCTCCTGCTGCTCCTCTCCCCTCTACAGGTGCCTACTTATGTTTGTAAAAGGCAGGAGCTCACTGGCACCAAGAATGGAGGATTAAATGGCAAAAGCTTAAAGCTTTTGTAACAGCTTCAAAAGAAGCATTGGCCAGGAATCCAGCTCATGGAATCAGCTCTCTCCAGGTCATAGTCCTCTCACCTTCTTCAGCTGGCTGCACCTACAGGCTGCATCTTCACCTGCAGGGGCTTCTTGCTCTGCTATAGCAGCTGGTTTGCAAAGCTCCCCACACACAGCTGAGCCCATGCACTGGACACTCCATTTTAGCCAGGTGCCCTGGGCTTTCTTGGCTTGAGTGTCCTCCTCATGTCAGGTGAGCTCCCCCTGCCTGGGGACAGCACAGCCTAGGGAGGACATGTGGCCAGTGTTAGAACAAGATCGGTGGCAGAGGAGCAAGGAGATATGTGAGCAGCCTCTAGCACCTGGAGGGATTCAGAAAGGGGCTGGGAGTGGCTCCCAAAATGGGGCTGGACACGGCCTTTATCTAACACTGATAAATCAGGATGTTGTAAATGAACAGAGTCCAGTGATGTTTTGTCACACCCATCGCCTGGGATCCTTGTACAACCTGGACGTTCCCAGATGATTGTAAGGTGAAGGAGACATTAGGGGAAGGGAAAAGGAACCCTGTCTGCACTGCGGTACGAAATATTCTCCATACTGCGCCAGCCCCATGAAGAGTTATTTTAATTTGCAGGGTTTAACACCACCCTTCTCTCAGTGGCCTGGGCATGGTCTCTTGTCTCTGTCATGACTTTGCTTCACTGTGGTTCGGGTCCTTCTCATCATGCTGTTCTGAACTCATTTCCGAGATTTCTCTGAGGCCATGCAGGAGAGCAAATAGCTCAGGTCTCAACCCTCTCTTGGGAGACCTTGGCAGACCCCCACTGGGGTCCTGGTCTGGCATCACCCTTCCTACCTCACCTGCCTTTTGGGCAGCCATGGACAAGGAGGGAGCAGGCAGGTCCCAACCACACCAGGGCTGAGTCTCCTCACCTTCCACCCCATCCCTGCAGGATCAGGCCTTTCCTCAGCAAGCACAGCACGGGGGGCTCTGCACCCATCCTGGTGTACCTGGGGACTCCTGAGCAAGGAAAAGAGGCTCTGGCCACTAGCCCTACCACCCTCCCTTCCTCGCTCTTTGGCCAGTGCCAGTATTGGACCCAAGGAGACACCCTGTCCCTGCCTCATCCTTATTTATTTATTACCAGAGGCTGTAAACAGCAGTGCTTTTCTACCCTCTACTTTCTTTTCCTTTCTTTTGTATTTTGGAACAACGTGTTGTAATAAATACCCAAATAGGTGTTTTAACAGCTGGTGTCAGCCTTGGTTTTTGAGGGCCAGACCTTCTCAGGGTGGGGCTGGAAGGTCCTCTCTGGGGCACTGGGGGAGGGCAATGGACCTCTGGCTGCCTCAGTGGAGGCTGAAGCCAGTGGAGAGCTGGACACACAGCCAGACCCATGTCTATGTATAGGAACCAACAGCTTGAAACTGCAGCTGGATGACTTCAAAGCAGAAATAAGACTCATGGCTGAGGAAGTAAGGGGATAAATCCCTTGGGCATCCAAGGGCCCATGAACTGCAAACAGCCACTCTAGGGGTTTCTGATGGTCCTGTGTGTAACTCGTGGCTCTGAAGCAGTAGGCAGGCAGCTGAGCAGCCCCTTTCTAGTGGAAAGGACTGGCCACGTCCTGCTCCGGATGGGTATATCCAAGGGTAGAAGATGGTACAGCTTGCCAGCTAAAGAGCATAAAGGCATGGAGTGTTTGCATTGAAACTCGTTCTGGGGGGTTTCTTGTTGGGTTTTCTTTGCCTCCCAGCTATCGTCTGCTCTCACCTTCCTCCTGCCATGGAGGCAGCATATATAGCCACACGCTTGCTGCGCACTACAGCTAAACCCTATAAACATTCCCTGGTCCCCCTGCGGCTGAGTTGTTGCCTCTTCCCCTTGGCAGCAACTGTGCTGTGTTTGGGTGGTCACTGACCAAGCAGCCCCATTTTGGCTTGGCTGTGCTCAAGCAGAAGCTGGTGTAAGCATTTCTCTGATCTCCCCAGCAGCAGGTTTGCTTTGGAGGGAGGAGAAAGCACAAGCAGGCTCCCTGCAGTTCTGGCTCCAGAAAGCCGCAGCACTTATTGACTTAAATGCAGAAGGGACATCTGTCCCCATGGCTGTTTTCCATAGGCTGGGCTAAATACCCTGGTCTTTCACAAATCCACTCTTCTCATCCAGCTGCAATAGCAGTGTCTTTTGTAGAGCCTCTTAGAACTACTGGAATCATCTGCTGCTGGGGTAGAAATTACACTGTCCAGTGTGAAGCTTTGGCCTCTTCTACAGCTGACCCCACTAGCAGCTTCAGAGGGGCTGTTTGCATGCCCTCCTCTCTCAGCCACTTGTTGCCATGTGTGACATGGAAAGGGAAAATTATTTAATACAGAAACATGAGTACTGCTCCCATCTCACTCCCCGTCTACCTGCTCCTGGCTTCATTTTTCCAAACCTGCTGCCCTGGGGAGGATGCTGCAGCAGAATTCCCAGGGCTGACATCTCGTGTCGCTGCTTCCACAGGCACAGCTAAATCCCGTTGTGTTTTAGAGAGGAATTCCCTCTGGGCCAGTAGACTGGAGGGGACCCAGGTGATGCTGCAGGGTGTCTGCTCTTAGCTGGGGCTACAAGTATGCGGAGACTCTATCCCCTGGCAAAGGCACCCCTGGGTGTGCACCCAGCGCAGCTTCCTTCCCCTGCCCCAGTGCCGAGGCTGCCTCTCCTCTCACTCCTCGTGGTTTGAGCGGCAGAAACCATTACTGCAACAAGAAACCCAGGAACGTCCTTTTTCCAGCTCTTTGGCTTTTATTGACTCAGAATGGCTGCCAAGCCTATAAATAAATGTTCCTTGTGCTAAATATAGCAGCCACTGAAATAGGCTGCCGGCTATTTATTTAGCTTTTAGCCTCTTTGAAAGCTTGCCAGTCCGTACTGCCTTTACCTTCTCACTGTCCCACCCCAGGCTGCAGCCACCCACCGCGGGGGCATGGCTGAGTCAGCACGGGGAGAAGGGGTCGAAGCAAGTCAGCCCTGTCTCCACAGGGCTGGAAAGCCAGGGAGGCAGGGTCCAGTGCCAGAGGAGCCTCAGCCCCCTGTACCTCTTCCCAGAAGGCTGGGGGTCCCCAGGAGGGACATTTGCTGTCGTGGTTGGGCAGGGGCTGAGCCAGCCACAAGCTGGTTTCCTCTCCTGGGAGGACTCAGGACCTTCTTCCAGCACTGGAGCCTGGAACAGAGAATTAATCATCTCCTGCAGGCTTTCCAGCATTAGGTGATGTGCATTGGTTTTCCACACTTTGCAGGAGTTTAAGTACTCCTGGTGCTCAGAGATGCTGTTTGTCAGGATGCTGAGGGCACCCAGGGGTATAAATTGACGCACACCCCCCATGCACCCCTGCTCAAGTCAGGACACCCAAACCTGTACCCCAAGCCATGCTGTAGCTGTGACCTGGCCCCAGCTCCCATGTGCACCTCAGGCAATGTTGCAGCTGTGTACCCTGCTGCTTCTAGTAGAACCCCTGGCTCAGCTCCACTTCACTGCATGTCTGGAGAGATTAGCCCTTATTAGGGCACTCTGAGACCCTCCATGAGGTGACTGTTCCTCCAGAGCCCTGTTGGTTGTGCATTGATGCAAGAAGGGATGAGCTTCACCCCTCCAGCACTGATGGAAAGCAAGGTGAGGGCTGCTTTTGTCCTGCAGGCATTGCCTCACACCCTGAGCCTAACAGAAATAGGATGTTGCTCACCTTGGGCTATGATGACTTTGCTGCATCTCCACACCAGTGAAGGGAAAAACCCCATCACTCCCTGGAAAGCCACATTTGCTTCTGGAGCAATCCAAGACATTAATAATGCTTAGCACTTACAGGGGGTTTTGCTAAACATGAGCTAATCCTTACAACACCAATGGGAAGGAGAAAAGTAATTATTGTTATTTGGCTTAATTTTTCCTTCTCATGTACCCCTGCAGGTGGGGATCAGCTCTACCAAATTCTGAGAGCTCTGGAAATCAGAGGAGAATCCTACTCACCCCAGCTTGTGCACATAGGAAGCCTGGAGCAAAAATGCAAGAGGTCACCCAGGAAGGCAGAACTGGAGCAGAACTAGTGTGTGAGGGAGATCCTGGCCCCATCCTGCTCCCACACCACCAGGTTGTAATTCCATAGTTGTTAGGGTAACCCTGGGCCCCTTGAGGGTCTTCACCTACAGAATGCCAGAGGGACGTGGCTGCTTTATGTCACTGCTTACCTTCCTCTCCACAATGTCACTTCACAAGCTGGTGAGATACCTTGCTCTCAGTGGCAGTAGATGCAGGCAAGGCTTGTGAGCATATTAGTTTGGAGTACTACTGCAGTGAGTCCCAAAATTCCTACCCATGACACTCTTTCCAGAATCACAGCCCTGGACTTGGGTTGGGATGTCCTGGGTGAGAGTGAAGGCCAAAATAGGGTCAGCTGCCTGTCTGGGTCCTTTGCAGGCAGAAAGGGCAATTTTAGAGTGTTCCCTGAAATCAGCAATGCTCCACGGCCACCCTCTTCAGCTGAAACCCATGCACTCTGTGTCTGAGTGGACCCAGATGATGTCATTTAGTTTTCCAGGCTTCTGGGCTGAGCCAGCAACTCGAGCCAGAATGACTGGAGATGCTTTATTTAGAAGGAGCCCAAGTGCAATCCAGCCCAGGCCTTTGCAGCACCCCTCTGCCACCTCCCATCCCTGCTGATGCAACCCTGGCTGCAGCAGGGACACCAAGCTGACTCAGACGAGGTCGCTCTTGGGAAGCTCAAAGTGATACCCTGTGGGGTGGGTGGGAAGAGGGGATACTTCAAGAGGCAGGTGAGGGTGATGCTCTGTCTGTGCTGCACACTGGCCCCAGGACCAGGGAACCTCCAGGTCCTTCTGGGCAATGTGCACAGCAGAGGAGCACTCATCTTCCCAGGTGCTTTTTCCCTCCCTCCTGCTCCCTGAAAAACTCAGCCCAGGCTCCCTGGCATGGCAGCAGCCACCCTCCTCATCCTCACACTAGCCAAGCTTCCGGCTAGCTTCAAGGGCTTTTTAGACTGAAAGCAAATGTTTTCCCCCACTAACACCCCTTAACCTGCCTCCTCTCCCTCAGCAGTATCTCCTGACCTGCAAGTGGCTAAGAATAGCCCTGCCACTGGCTCCAGTCTGGTGCTGTTTGCTCAGTGACTCAGAGCTGGCCAGGCAGGCACTTACTCAAAGGGCCCCATTACTCATCTGTCTGAATTGCCCCAAGGATGGGGTTTGTGTCTCTCACTCGACTTTCCTTTAAAGATGTCTTATTTATTTCTTTTTAATAAAGCTGCCATCCACAAAGAGAGGTAATTATCCTGCTGTGGATTTACCACTAAACATGTGTGCTCCAACCCGAAATGCTGCAACACCCATTGATCATGCTGGCAGCCCCTCAGTACTGCTCCTGCTCACTGCCCTGCCAGAAGGGAACTGTGTGGGCAGGAGCAGGGAAAGGAAAATGCCCCATAACTGCATTTCATGGCACCTGGTTAAGCATGCAAACGAAAATCCTCTCCTCCAGAAACCACCCATGTTGAATGCCAGCATGGATCTGGCTGTGCCGAAATCCAACTGGCCCCTCAGATGCCCAGGGCATGATCCAGCTGCTCCCATCTTGCTCACAGCCCACATTAATTGCAACCCTCCTTCCTCTCTGCGGGGTGTCTTATTGCCCCTGCAGTGGGTGCTGCCATGTCTGCAAAGCACCTTGGCAAATTTAAACAGGCCTCCGTGTTAAAAAGCCACTCCATTTCCAAACGACAAAAAGGCAGCATCTTCCCATTCTGGTTTGCTCCCCTGAGGCACTTTCCGAGTCACAGCCAGTTGCTGCTGGGAACAGAGCTGCATCCTGAACGATGCACATCTGTGTCTACAAGGAGCTGACATACCAGTGCTTCCACTGCTGGGGGAGGACAAGACTCCTTCGCCTGCCGCAGCTCTGTGGGGACAGTGCACAGGATGTGGCAAGCATGGTGCTATCAGCAGGGTTGGAGGATGTGTGCTGGGATGCCAGCTGTGATGGAGCATGCATGGGGTACCCCAAGCTAGGTCTGGTTTGTCTGGTTTGCAGAGATATGCATTGGATGCAAATAAATCCACCCTGCATGGAAGGGGGGGGGGGGGGGGCAGTTGGTCTGGATTTAGGCTGTGACTGCAGTGCTTCTAATCACCACCCTGCCCTGGGTCTCTGTGTAAGAGATGCTAAAGGCCTGATCCTGTGCTGCAAACACAAAGGAAG